AGTGTATTATAAAGTTAACAGATTCGGGATTTTTTCTATTACTGTTATACATCCGGCCAATTTTACGCTCACGCAACATTTTGATTCTAATTCCCTTTTCACACTTCTACGAGCAAAAATAGAATAAAAAAAAAAAAGCATCTTTCCCCGTTTTAAGTTTGAATCAATGTCTATTCTAAAATATTTTTTGTAAACGTGTCTCAGCCTAAGCACTTCTCGGTGTAAAGCGGGAAAAACAACCTTTAAAAGAATTTATAAATCTGTGGGTGTCTCGACGAATCAGGTTTGCATTTCTGGTGACACCAGCAGAAATAACAACGCTTGCTGTGTTGATTGAAAAAATAATGCCGCATATTAACATGAACATTCTTCGTCTTAAAAAGGTCTAAAGCTCTCAGTGAGACAAAATTTTAACGAGTATACACAGCAAAACATCGGTTAAAAAAATTACTCAAAGGTTTTGCTTAACATTGGGGCAAAATACAAAACTAAACTTCTTGTCGTGTCCTCTCAGCTGTTTGTACACTGAATTGAAAGTATTCAAATTTACTTAGTTAAGGAATTTTTTTTCTATGGTTTTGATTCTGAGGATTAGAGGAAAACCGAGCAAAATAAAATTAATCTATTTGGTGTCCCCGTAAACTTTACATTTGAAAACTTCACTCCTCAGAGGGGCTAAAATTCAAAGGAAAAGATACATGCTTTTCGAATGTGTAGATAATGTTACATTTGATTTGAAAAATTAGAACCTTCCATGCATCGAAAACAAAGCAAGTTTTTCAAAGAGGGAACCTAACGTTGACTCACGAGTGTGCAAAAGTTCGATACCGGTCATAAAAAAAAAAAATGAAAAAATGGAGAAGGAAAAATAAATGTACCCAACCATAACCATAAACATAACGTGGCATCTCGGCCAAAGTGGTTCTCCGCCGAAGTACAATTGTTAAATTATACATGTGGAAAAAAACGTTATATCTTGTGGAAAGTGAATACACACAGCATGATATTAACCATGGTTTAAAGGTTTCAATAAGAGTCGGTCCCAGGTGGTCTACCGTCTCTCACTGTGGTATGTCTAGCCTTCAGGCAGGATCTCGTGCTTTGGTTTTCCCTTATTGCACAACCACCCGCCACAGCATCAGTTACCGCTCAGGAAAAAAAATTTTGAAACCCCAGCCATAGTCCAATACCGAGTTAAATCAGTGGTCTTCCAGAAATTATCTTAAAAGAGCAAATACATCCCAGCCAAAGGGGTTGACAAACGGTAATCGCTCAGTGAAGTATAAATGTGGAAAGATTTCGTATCTTTCGGGCGGTGAATATACACACCATGACCTCGACTATAGCTCATAACCGAATTAAATCCGTGGTTAAATAACTCCGTCACGAATCATACAAGAAATCTTTGTTGTCGTCAACGCTTTCGCCTAAAATAAGTCGGTTATATCTTCTTATGTCATCCCGGTCATTTTATTAACTTGACATAGATATGATAATACTTCCAAGCTTATTTTAAACATGAATAACTCTGATGTGACTCAAATAGGCGGTCATTGAATATTCAGCCGAAAGGGCTCTAGCTAGAACTGTACTTTCATCTGAGAGGTAATTCATCCCGGTTTATGTTAAAACTGCGAAAAAGTAATCGAACGCATTTGCCTAGGGCTTTTGCCTTTATAGGCTTACTTAGTCAAAGGTCGTTCTGCCGCATTGTTCCTATATAGAAGCTGTCATTAATGTACATCTGATTTATCTGTGTCAATTTAAGTCCAAAAAAACAAAAACATATCAGTGTCACTTGATCTCGATAATAATTCCGAATTAGTTTTCCACAGAAATTGAAATCTTAAAAGATTAACTAGTCCTTTCTTTGGTCAGTCACATCTTGCGTACCACGACACCACTCTTTTGTTCAAATTTATTTAGGCTTACAATTGTCTGAAAAAATTGAGCCCGCTGTTAGGTCAATACTGAAAAACACAAGCAAACAAAAAAGTGTCGAGTAAATGCGGATATTTTTTATAATAATAACGATATCACAAAAAGAGCTGGGCTGTCTTGTTAATGTTGACTTCCATGCAACCATCTTTAATATATCATTCAAACATAAGCCGTCAGCTTTTATGATCACTATCAGGCAAAACATTGAAGAAAAAGATGGTGTTTCCCGCTCGGCAAAACTTTAGACCCTACTCGCTTACATGAAAAGAGATAAGTTCGGAGAATAAAAACATTACTTGCTCTTATTGTCTTGTTTTCGCATTCTGCAACCTATTTACACAAAATTACATTTGATTGTTTGCGTCATTGAGGGGAAACCGCTTTGCGGGTGCCACAAAACCAAGTCTTCGTTAATTGGCGCACACTACTCTCTGGAGATTTCCTAAGTAAGGAATTAACACATGCAATAATAGATTTCTTAAAATTATTATGCACAGTTATCCAATTTAAGTGTTGTGTGCATCAGCTTTTTTGTTTTTGAGCACTTTTTCATATGAACGCGGCTCACTCCTATGACAGTTATCTTATCCTAATGGATCGCACTGAGATGAGCGCAAAGCGCAGCCAATGACCTTTTTTTGCACTAAAAAGATGAACGTTATTTTGCAAATTTTGATTTAGACCAGTTGCCACACTTCATCTTGCGATCGCTAAGTTCTTAAACGACTTGGATCGGTCGCCTGAACTCAAGTGGTTAAAGAGGCTCGTGACGTGATTTGGACAACGAATAGAGCATAAGGAGCAAAGGTAAAGTCAGTCAAGAGCAGCATCTTTCAGTAAATTTCCCAATGAAGAGATAGGCTTCAAAAAGGTGAACTGTTAATCCTTACGTCGGCGGTTATGGTAATTCTTTCACTAAGACGCTTACGTCGCTAAACCACCGGTATGAACCTTTCATATGGGTCAGAGCTCAATAATACAAGTGTTTTACCCTTTTCAAATTCCTCAGTTTCATTCAAGAGCCCTTTTCTCATAATTCATCATAACTCATACCTTCATACGATAAGGTTGTAAAAAACTGAATAGCATGTGGTCTGTCATATATTGAATACGTTAATATGGGTAGTAGTGTAGAACTCTCTTCTTATAGAAATTATCCAGTTCGAGCTACAGTGTACTTAATGCCTTAAATATGAAAATGTGAACCAACATCGTTTTCTTAATATGTTTCTGTAAGGTGAATGTAAACTCCGTTTCAAAAGTGTGTTAAAATTGCCACAGTCACTTGAAAGTTCTGAAAAACATCGTTGTCCTTCTTAGGAAACAATTTTAATTTACAATTACCCTTTCTCTCGCTAAATTTTTACATAGTAAGAGTCTGCCGAATTTAAGAAATATCCTATTGTTAGCATAACATGTTAGGATAACATATGAGGATGACAGTTTGTCAAATTCACTTTCCCTACAAAGGGCATGATGATTTTTTGTTGTATCACCTTTTGCAAGTTCTATTTGCAACTTCGTAAACACGATTCGAAAGAACGTCTGGTAAAAACGAAATAAAAGTATTCAAAACAGGTTTCCCTAGTTTCCGACTCCCCATCAAGAAAAACAGAAATATACTCGGTAGATTCTCGTTTAGTGTGCGGTTCACAACATTGCTATATCATATATTCCTATACTGGCAAATAATGATAAAAGCTGTTGTCAACACCAATTATAAACTTAACTAGAGGTGGAAAACAATTTTTTTTCATAACGATCGTGTTCCTAAAAAAAAAGCAGTAACTTGTGCTCGTTGAAGACACAACTAGATCTCCTCCGCCACAGGCAGTTTTCGGCTTTTACAAGGGAGACTACATAGAAATGGAAGTTTATTGATAAATGCAATAACATAACGACAAAGAAAAATCTAGTAATGGCGTATTTATTTATATTGTTCTCCGCCGCCCACAAACATTCGCCCTAGGTAACAAAGAACATCTTGCCAGGGACAAAGGCTTATTTACATTATAAAATTGTCACCGTTTTCTTTGTAATTGCGCAAAATTTCATTCTGACAATAGGCGCATTATAAACCGCAGTTAAAAATGCGCCGCTTCTTCCTCCCCCCTCCCCCCCTGGCTCTAAAGCTCCTGACAGCAGCACTATGCACCATCTACGCAATAGCCTTTCATGGTATCAAGACTAACTTCTTTTAGGGCGAAATTGATGCACGTGACATGGTCCTCCTTGCCTTTTCATGTTTTGCGAACGCAAAGAAGATGCTAAGTGCTACTTAGCACCTGCAGATTCTTGATTAAGAAAGGTTAAAACATATATTTTCTGACAGAATGCCTATTTGAATCTTTACTTAAAAAAGAAGCTCAGAAATTCTGGCGATGTCTCCGAAATTACCGAACGATTAAAATGCTATAGTGGGTATCTTCATCGCCACATTACTTTAATAAGGATTAGTAGCATTTGATATCGATGACATTGTGATATTAGCACCTTTTCTCAGTTTTTTTAGATTCGTAACAAAAAATCCTGATTATGTGATACTCGTTTTGGTGGCAAGTGTAATCATGTATACAATGCTTTTGAAACGCCCGAAATCCAGTACCAGTTATAACCTTAATTAGAAGTATCCTGCTGAATATAAATATTGTTTCTATGAATAGCGCTCAAAATTCATCAGGTCTTGCGCTCCGCTTTCTGCAAGCTGATACTTGGTTCAATCTCAAGCGGTACCGCTACTGAAAACATAACTATATCATTTTACCTAGAGAAAATAACTTCTTTGAATTGAGAAAATTGAACCCAATACATGATTTTTTGAACAAACAGAATTTTGCAAAAAAGTGTTTACCAAATGTAAAAAAGATGAAATAATAAGAAAAAAAATTTTGCTATTTATACAAGACAGATAGACCAATTGAAATTTATCAATTTCGACTTAATATTCTGTATCGTAAACTAGGCTTGAAAGTGGTCACTATTTGCCGATTCGTTCATTAAACAGTCCTTATTTTACTTCATCCCAATGATATGAATTGAGTTTTCATTTTTTTCAACGTTTTACCACTGAGTCACGTTGCTTCAAGGACAACAACTGAGAATATTTCTTTGCCAACAAAAGCATCATCACATCTCGGTTCCGTTTGGTTTTAAAACCCTCTCGTTTTTAGATTAAACACCGGACACGATATTGCAATCTTCAGTGACAGTTGCGGCGTACATGTTTACTTTCTATCTTTAATTTTTTCCATATTGAGCGCGTTAAAAGCAATAAAACGTTTTAAGCGAAGTGCATACGAATATTAAGGATTGTTGTGCCAACGTGGCAAGACCGCTGATGGGGAATTATGCCTTGGATGAATGCAGCTCAAGGTGCCAAAGACTACTTCCTCTATACTTGTAACAATTTGTAATTTGAATACGTGGTCACATACTTGCTAAAGGTTAATTTCCTGTTAGTGTAACGACATCACACATTGTTTTCTTTCTTGTTTGCAGATTTGTCAGTCAGAGAGAAACAGAGCACGACACAGTTTATTATCCACGCTCGTCGAGGCTTCTAATTGCGGAGTTGAGAAATTAGAGAGTTTCAGCTGGGCGATCGTTTTTCCGAGAAAAGCTTGAAAATACTACATCAGGTTAGTTGTGAAATCAAATTCAAACCTGTGGTAATGTAAGTTGAAGTTAGGTGGCCCTTCGTGCCACTTAAGAAAATGTGCTTCTCGCAGATATCTACTCACACCGAACGGTGTAGGTAATTGGGCACACGATGACCGCTAAATCAGGATTAAAAATCTCGATTGTGATTTTATTTTTGTACAAAAACATTTCTCAAGGCGAGGGAGTTTTATCGGTTAGACAAACTTTAAAGTACAAAATGTAAACAGAAAACCTGTCTACCAGCAAAGCTGCAAAACCAGATTAATCTGCACCGACCTTTAGTTTGATCGGCCGGATTTGTAACGATACTCTAAGCGATGTCATATTTTAGACTTCACTTGCGTCCTAACACTTCAGCTCTAATCTCACACCCCACAGAGTCTCTTGCTTACCCGCTTTTGGAAATGGTTGTGTTATTTCGTCAATGTTGGAGTTAACATACCGAATTCTCTTCGTCTTACAATGCCAAAATTGCATTCCCGAAAACTACCTAGTTGGAGTATTTTGTGGTCAATTTGACATTGCAATCCGGCGTTATTTCGAAGTATAAATCAATTCTTTAACAGTAAATAGCTTTAAACGCCACTGCCACCTAAAAAACGGTCGAAGGGAAGATTACCCAAAGAGGAGAAATAATCTCTACAAAGGAGGCAGCGTGCGATTTTTTTTCACCATTTCAAAAAAGGGATGATTCGTGCTGCGGCAAACATGTTAGAGAATCAAAGGAGATCAATCTGTTTATATAGTAAATCAAATACATCCTGTGCAACAAATTGATACAAGAACAAACAAATCAGGTCAGAACAAAACTTGTTAAAGAGGTTCTTTCCTTTTTTTTGGTTCGTTATTGGCATTTCTTTTGCCTTGTCTAGTAATTCTGGTTCAAACTGTCACGCTAGGAAACATTCTATTTTCCGGTTTTCGACAACTGTTCTTCAGCAACAGGGTTTCGTTTTATTTTTCTTTTCTTGTGACTACAGGGAAGGAAAGCATCCAAAAAGAACCAGTGTCAACTGAATAAATAATCCCCATATACTTCCGATAAAGATCTAGAAATGCCGAATTTTAAACCGCAACGATAGAATAATTTGAACTAAAAAGAGGGCACCCTGACTTGCAAACCTCTAATCACTGCATGTATGATCATATTCTCTCTCACTGTTTTCTTTGGCTTATAATAGGTCTAGCAAAATATTTTTCCATCGCTCATTTCACAACAATTGCAAATAATACAACAATAAGGGTTGTCAGTCGCTCGTGATTTTTCTTTTTTTTTTTACTGTTTGCTCTCATGATGGCTAATGTGTGCTCCGCGCCCGTTGTCACTCACTTCTGTCAAACTTGCAATTCGATTAATTTAGCATTATAAACTAAAAACTTTTTTTTTTATTTCGTTAATTTTTGCATCACTGGTCATTGCCTATAGTTTTAACGAGATCATATATTAAAGCAATTCCTCCCTAGGCTTACAAAAATTATTTTTAATCACTTTGACTGACAGAGGTGGCTTTGCTCTGGACGTTACAAGAGCTATTCTGCAAATAAACTTTTTCTAAGGGTTACCCGTTTTATACCTTTGTGAGCAATGTGTCACGCTGTGCTAAGAGGAAAGTTTCATTTTGTTCAATTATGAATTGCGTTTACCGTGAATTGTTTCCGTGTGCAGGGACTTAACAGCAAAGGCGCGAAACATAGAGGACCGAAGCTACCTGTGCGTGACCAGCATCTAATTTCCCCTTAAAGTAATGCTGCAGAATGATTCACTAAGATTATGAGAACAAAGGAAATGATCGCCAACCTAAGAAACTTTAATGGTTAAACGAATTCTCATTACCAGCACCAAAAGAAATGTACAGAGAAGAGCAAGGAGAAAATAGATACTGATGTTAGGGTGTAAAGGGCTAAGAAATACCTTCCTCTTCCTCTTGTTGTTATTCGCGTCACTCTACCTGCCTTATGATAATTATTATAAGAACAATGATAATGATAAAAATAACAATGATAATAACAATTGTAATAACGGAAATACAGCTTTATGAAAATCAAAATTCTACCTACATAATACATTGCTCAAAATGATCTTTTTGACATAATGTAATGTTATTTATAAATATAAAAAACTATATCGTTTTTGTGTTATCTCTGTACACCCTGAACTTAAAAAAGGCAAAAAGATAAAATACTCCATTCAAAAAAAAAAATGACTTATTTACAAATAGAAAAAGCTAGACTCGTAATGTCTCTATACAATACGTAATTCGTATTAGACATTCCCTGTTTCTGACTTTATGGTATTTAACAAAAGTAAAGAACAGATTCAAGTTATTTAAACAACGTTCCAAAGCCAAAATCAAATATGACATCAAGAAATTGCAGAAGTATTGAGCAAAAGCTTTTGCCTCATTTCCAACCAATTTAATTTCATATGAGCTAAAGCTACTTCTGTTTTTTCATAGTTTCTCTTATGCCTTTTTTGTTTCTTTATTTTTCAATAGTTTGTAGGCCGCGAAACTTCTCCCTCAAAATGAACAACAGTTCCAATGTATCAACGACAAACGGTAAGGATCTCGTAGCTCTATATATGCCGTCCATTCCGTCATTGTTGTCATGCGTTTTGCCTGTTGCTGACTGATGACTCATTATAGAATTGTCGCCATGATGAATTCAAACCGAGCATGAATAGTAAGAAGGATCTGCAGGGTCGGGTCGGAGGGGAATGTTTCGCCATTTTAATCTAACACCCATCTATAAACAGTGTAAATAGGGATGGTTGCTTTCACCGCTCTTAATAAGGCGTGCTATTGGTTATATATAATTATGCAATTTGTGTTTTTTTTTTCTTTTTTGCAGCAACAACCGCCGGTGCTCCACCACAGGGTACTTCTCATGAGTTCAAAATTGGTATAACATGTGCGTATGCAGTTATTTTTACCATCGCTTTCCTTGGAAATTCATTTGGGTTGTACGTTGTGTTAAAGAAGTCTTCCTCTACCAGCGTCACGAACTTGTTTATCGCCAACATGGCCGTTGCAGATCTGATGTTGACGTGTACAATCATGCCGGTTCAGGTGAATTTCATTCATGGGGATCTTTCTTGGATTCCAGGAATATTGGGAAACGTGACTTGCAAGCTGGTGTTCTACTTTATCCCAGTTTCAATAGCGGCAACTGTGTTCACGATGATGTTCATTTCCTTCGATCGATTTTACGCCATATTCTATCCACTGAGAGAGAAGATCTTCCGCAAGCCAAAAATATTGTCGGCCACAATTTGGATTCTATCTTTAGTGCTGATGGTCCCATATCCTATGTTGTACCAAATAGAGTATAATCCTCAATTGAACAAGCATTTTTGTTTACAAGTGTGGCCATGGCAAGACAAAAACGATGTTACAAATGCTGAAACCTATCGCGTACTTAAGATCTTTCACACTACGATTTTCGTTGTGCTTTACGCATGGCCCCTTACAGTAACCATCGTCATCTACTTCTTAATTTGCCGTAAACTATGGCTTCGAAAGATCCCGGGAAATGTGACAACTACCAATCGCGCTGCGGCTGAAAAATCCAAACGCAAAGTTGTTCGGTTATTAGTCATAATCGTCTTGGTCTTTGCAATCTGCTGGTTCCCAAATTATATTGATCATTACATTTGGTTCGTGCGACCTGAGCTTGGGAACTCGATACCGCAGGAAGCACAGCTAATGTTTTTGTGGCTCGCGCACGCAAACAGTGCAATAAATCCATCACTTTATATTTTGCTGAACAGCAAATTTCGCAAAGAACTTTTCATCACGATGACTTGCTGTCC